GATTGTCCCCTGATTTTGGTTCCCTCCTATTTTGCTGATTGTCCTAGACACCACTTTTCTAAATGGATTTATAACAATTGCATTTCCTTGCCAGTATGAATTTTGTGTTATTGTTTTTTAATTCTCTACATCAAATTCCATGTTTAACAGAATTCTAGTCCTGTGTTTTCTGTATGCCTCATCTTGTTTTCCTGCTCCTTTTACCCTAATTCAGGTCCAGTGCTGATACTAATAATGTTTAATCCAAAACATCTGCAAACTGTGATAGAAACACTCCCTTCTTTACAACAGAGGTAAATATCATGTTTCTTAGCCTTGACTAAGCAAGGTGATTTTTAAAAATCATACCAATCTTTATATGGTTTCATTACTTTAAAGTCCTTATTGCCTTGACGTGGAGCAATTTTTCTCACGTCTATCTTGGAAGGCTACTTCTCCATAGAAAAAGGGAGAAGGGAAGAAGCACCAGCTGTTGTTAACCCAGGAAGGACAGCAGATGAGAGAGTCCCACACTCTTAAAGACGCGGCTTCTCAGCTCTCTTTATCGATTGCACTGAAGAAACAGTGGCAGATTTGGTCAGAGATCGCACAGTTTTTCTCACACTTAACAACACAATATGGGTCAGATATCAAGTATAGTTATGGATCATGCACTTTGGAACAGTATTTTCACTGTTTTATAATTTGATTGTTATGTCATTCATAGCCTAGACTTCTGAGATTAGTGTAGACTTTAGAATCAGATGTCTTAATTCAAATTCTAACAATTATCTGGATTATTTAACTTTTCTGACACATTTTCTTTATTTGAAAATAGAAACACTACAGTGACTCTGGGTGTCATGATGAACTAAGTGAGATCACTTATATTTTGCTTGTTTCTGAAAAGCGCTGGGTAATCTATAGTTAGGCACACACAAACGCATTCCAACACAATCTTATAACACCCGCATATCTCCAGATCCACCCACCTGCAAAATAGTAATTGCAGCTAACTTTACATTCACTGTTTATAGCAGATGTTATTCTAATCATTTTGCTCCATGAGCTCATTAAAATGCTTCTAATGTAAGAATGAGATATTATTGAAAGGAAACATTAATGCCTAATTTTTTTTCTTTTTGACCAATTTTGCATGCTTATATCTGGTAATCTGAACAACTAATTTGAAGACAACAATAAGCAATATAACAACCGTTGGTGAATTCTTACCATCTTGTCTAGTGAAACTCTGCATCATTTATAATATTTCTTTTATTTTTTATTCTCTTTAATGATTGATCAATCTTGAATTCTTACATCTGGTAATCTGAGTAACTCCACTGAAGATAACAATACATAATACAACAACCACTGTTAATCCCTATCATTTTGTTCTGAAACCCTGTATCGTTTTCATTGTTTTTGCTGTTTTGTTTTTGTCTATGTTGCTGGCATTTTGCTGTCGTTCTTTTTTATTATTCTGTTTAAAATTTTAAAATGATATAAATGTACTTAGTATCTTTATTTGATAGGGTCTACCGCGAAGAAAAGTGAAGTTAAGAAAGTAGGTAAGGGGGAAAACATACGAACTATAAGGAGTATATTTGAGATGGCGCTGAGGTGTTGGTGCCTCGGCAACTCGAATGAGGATGAAAGAACGGCGCAGCCTTCTCCTCGCTTCTTCCCTACATCACACCAAAAGGCTGTCAAAGGTAAACACGAAACGCGGAAAAAGCTGCATTAATGGCTCACCAGCCGATGTTGTTATAATTACTACCATTTTCATCATCATCCAAAGTCTTTGATATAACACACTAGAGTTACTGGTTCTTTATTGTGTTTGTTTTCTATACTCTGCAAACCCCGAGGAGAACAATTTAAATACTTCATTATTTACGATGAGTTTTTAGCGCATATATCTGCCTTGATAATTGCAAGAGAATCAAAGTGATTATCCACACTCCCCGCGACTTGCCCGGATCTTATTCAGTATTCACACACCTGTAACACCGTGGCAGTCAAGCATTGTGAAGGCTTTAATTTTCTGAATGTTTCAAATATGCACAGCAAAATCCATTGCTTCTTCCCACACCTCCTACAAAGCTTGATTATTATAGCAGAGCCTCATTACGGCCTAGTTTCACTGAATTCTCCCACTACAATTATAATTTGTCACTGCAGTCCCTAATGATAGAGAAACATTAAATAATGGGAAGAGCAATCAGAAGTCTAAAAACTCGGATCTCGTGTCATAGCAGGCTTTACATGGCCCTCCCAGCCAGTGCTTATAGTTCTTTCGACACTCAACTTACCTGGTATCCTTCCCTATTTCTACATAACATACAAATAGGCTGTACATTTTTCTTTTTGGTAGGATGGTTTCATTCAAAGTATACCCATAATTTAAACGGAGCAAAACTCTTTTTCATTTTAGAAAATCAGCAGAATTGGATTCATTAAAAAAACATAGCATTTCGGGTTTTAAAAATTTCAACAGTAATTACACATTTTGCAAATACTGTGTGGTGTAAAATAGCAAATAGTTCATGATATACAAAAGCAGAGTAGCCAGGCAAAGTGGTACATGCCTATAATCCTTACTCTTGGAGGATTATGAAGGTCAAGTATAGCGTGGCAATTTAGAAATTTACTAAGACCTTGTCTTAAAATGTTTTTAAAAATACAAATAAAAAAGGCTTTGAATTTAGCTCAGTGTGAAAGTCCTAGGTTTGGTCCCTAGTATAGAGACAGAGCAAGAGAGAGACAGACAGACAGACAGACAGACAGAGAGATAGAGAGAGAGGGAGAGAGGGAGAGAGAGAAACAAAGAGAAGGCAAATAGCTCATGGTATAAATTTTCTAAAAAAATAAAGAATGATTATGATTAGAAAGTAGGCATTTTGAACAGAGAAGTTTGAGAATTTATACGTTATGTACCTTCTATCTTATTTCTCATAATGTACTTCATTGGACCCTTTACAGTGAGGTCATATTCTTTCCTTGTTTTTCTCTCTCCGGCTATACTATCACCACGCTGGCCTTAGCTCACTGCGTTCCCAAGTCTGGATTTTCCCAAACTCAACACTCTAATCCCGAATAAACAGCCAAAGCTGCCAGATACATCTGTATCTCAGGGACATGTATCTATTGAATTGAAAATGTTAAAAAAAATCTCAGCCCTGGAATTGATACTTTATTGCTTAAATTTTATAAGCAAATTTAGACTAAGAAAATTTGTGAACTATATGTGTTTTAACTTTTTGATACACCCAAATGTAAAAGGGATAGTATAATTGAGTGTCATAGACAGAGAAGTTCCATTTTGCAAATTAAAACATGCCAATAATTATTTATGACTACTATATGGAACTGTCCATGGTTTAATAACATATAGAAAAATTTGATGGTGATACAGAGTACTTTTAAAGATTTTCTTTTTTCTGTGAGGTGTCCTAGTTCATCACAAGGAAAGGGACACTTCATGCCTGTGAATCTAGTTATATTTTTAAACTCTGAAATTATTTTGGTACCCTCATAGGACATTGCATTTTACTTTTCTCAAGCCTGACACTTTTATTTAAATAAGGGATTCCCCTGTTTTTTTGAAAGTAAATTTATGTTTCAATCTCATTTACTTACACTAAACTTAGGGCTTTACAAAAGTGCTGTTTGAGCTGGAGGAAGCTAACACTAAAACTCTATGATTTAGAAGAAAAGTGGAGGTTACAGAAATTGGAGCAATGATTCCCCAAGTCTAGAGGAAAGAAAGTGCTGGCAGATGCAAGCTGATTGCCTCTCTCTCCTGGAAGGGACAGGTTATCACAAAGATAAATCCATTAAAGTGTCTCTCTGGCTTAGAATCAGACATTTGGCTACCTCTGCCTGAGTATAAAGCAGTTAGAGAAAATTTATGTAATAATTCTTATTTTGTGTAACAAGACAAATCCCTCATATAGCTTCCCCACTTTTACCACTCAGAAGAGACTAACTGAAATATTGTACACTGCCCTTATAAGCTACAAAATAGAACTAGAGTACTTTTTTCTCCAAGGGGGCACACCTTAATGAGAACACTCTTTGGATCACAACATGAAGTTTACAGAGTGAAACAGACGGGCTCTTTCCTAATCTGCTTATATGCAGACCATACTATAAAAAGAAATAGGTGGTCTAGATGGATTATGACAGAAGAAAATGAAAACTTGCTGTTCCCATTATTAATATTATGGCTGTTGCCATCCTTTGTATAAAAAAGCCATCCATTCTGATAGTGAGTACTTTATGCAAAATTCCAGGTAAAGTTGCAGAGTTGTTCATTAAGCAGATACGGGGATGCATTATTTGAGGCACTTCAATGATTTTAACAAGAAATTAACAAGGACTCTGCCAAATCAAACAAATGAATGGTATCTGGCACACATTTAGAAAGTTCTTCCATTAAATAATTTGGAAATAAAGTGCTTATAATAAAAGCCACTGGTCATCTGGGAATGGCTATCATCTTTGCATGTATTCTTTTAGAATTAAAGAAGTCTCAGTTAATTGAGAATGTTGTATAAAATACTGATTAATCATGGTTTAGATGATAATATTCTTCAATGTATATTTCAACATTTTATTTCCTTTTAACTGTCAACTGATACTCTTAGTTTTTGGAACATGAATTCCTTCAGCATGACGGTATCTCCCCTGCCAGGTAAGTATGGAGCATGATTTCTTAAGCAAGAATAATTACATTGTTCAAAGATGCCTAGAATTCAGCAAATTTAATTTTAACAATAATAATGAATTGAGAGGGCTAGCTATGCAGAAATTCTTCCTGAGCAATATCATAATTCATGGTTAATGCCAACATTGTAAATTACTTCATAATGTTTACTCATAAAGCAGAAATACCTGTATTCTGTGTAAAACTTTCTAAAATTAAGGGATAGAGATTGTTTTCTATCAAACATAAGTTAAAGAATATATCTTTGCAATTTAATTAAGATGATAAGTTACTGTTCAAGCCCCATTACCTTGTAAATATCCAGGAACCCGCACTGGTGGTCGAATCTGGTGTACAGTTCATTCAGCATGCTGATCACTTGCATGGGAGTACACTGGGCGCAAATAGCTGTGAAGCCAACAATGTCAGAAAAGAGCATGGTGACATCATCAAACTTTCTGGCCTGCACTTGCTGCCCTTGCCACAGTTGCTGGGCCACATCGCCAGGGAAAATAGAATACAGAAGATCCACAGTCTTCTTCTTCTCTTCTTCCAGGGCCTGATGAGTTCTTTCTAAAGTGGCCTTTAATTTATCCATCCTCTTCTTTAAGCCATCTTGGGCCTTCGCCTGCTCACCAACCAGAATGACATCCCGGGTAGCATCATGGATAGGGATGTCTGAGAGGTGTAGCCCTCGACCCATGAGTTCATCCAACTTGTCCACACACGGGGAGCCCAAAAACAAGATGGAATTTGATTCTGGGACGTGGATCATCTGTCCTTTGATTTCCATAACCTGTGGAATTAACATGGAATTTTGATCAGTCATCTTCATGTAGCAAGTTAATGAAGGATAACATTATTTGATGAACAGGAAGAATCGGAAATATTTTCTTAACTATACGGATTTGGTGCATTCATCTATGCAAATTTCTATCCGATGTACAGTCAATAAAAACTACATGCTTCAGAACAGAAACAATTATTTTGTATCTCAGCTACTTTCCTAAAGAGAAATAATAAAATACAAAATGGGATCAATGAAAAGTGAAACAGGAAAACATTTTTTATTCAAGATCAAATTATTCCCGGGTACATTATGGAACTGTTTTATAAGCCAATTTAAAACTTTCAGCCTGCTACATAATATAATTAGGATAAATTCATCTGTCAAAATAACTACATGTAACTGTCATTAAAATGACACTTCTTTCATAATATAAATCTAAAAGCTTACAATGAATCAAAATAGTTGTTTGGCCTTACATATGTCATTTTTCAACCAGTCATCATCACTGGAAAATGTAGTAGTCATTTTAGAAGACTAGAGTAGCAGACAGTTCATTTAGCCTTAAAAGTAACTTAAGGTACCATTGACCCATGATTACTAGAAAATAACCATTATTCAACTAATGTGTTCACAAAACTAAAAATAAATCCCCAAATTAGCGTATCACTAAGAATTCAGGTAATAAATAAGAATCTCAGGGTTATTAATTTAATCCTATCCCTCTATTCTGTGTTCTTCCTGTAAACTTGGGGGATTAACAGTTAAAAAGTAAACTTTGTTAACATAAGATTTTGTATCTAGCTTACTACCTCAATGAGCAACTTCAGAAGGGATGAACACCAGTAGGAAAGGAAAAGGACATAGGTTACGGCTATCCAAATGTAGTCGTATGGGTTAAATTAAGGTATTTCAGCACACCTGGGGAGGAAACGCGCTGTAACTACCAGAGACCAACTGGCTAAGCGTCGACCACCTGGGCCTGTGCCCTAGTATCATCTGTCTCATTTTCCACTGCCATATGGAATGCATGCAACAAAATCATCTTCCTTTATTTTCCATAGCATGAAGTAATTGCATTAATTGATGAAACAAACAGGATAGAGTAAATTTAGGGTAAGCTAAAAAATATATATATTTTTAAGCCTACATATATACATATATATATAGATATATAATTTCATTATAGAGCATTCACAAAAATCTTATTTATGTAAGAAAATAAAACTGAGTTCCTGAGGGAAAAACAATGTCGTAAAGGCCAGCAGAACATCACAGCCTCTCCAGTACCTGGAATTGAGATACCTAGAAGACAACCACTTATCAAGTAAAAGAAGATCTCTAGGAATCAAGAAAGCATGGGCAGGAACACTAGAAATCAAAGAGAAACTGAAAAAAAAAATGAAGACAACGCAGAGAAGACAATGAAGCCCTAAGCGTTTGCGCCTTCTGGGTGCCCAAAGTCACACTCTCTCCTATTAGGGTTACTGCCTGTCATTCTGTGACCTCCTTCCCCTGAGGCCGCTCCGTCCATATTCCCTGGAATGTGACAGTCCCAGCCCCTGAGGAGGACCTGTTTCCACAAATCAAGCTAAGCCTGAAAGGGATGGGTCCCTCTGATAAACAACAGATGGGAAGCACTGCCCCCAAGAAAAGCCTATAGCTATTGTGAGCTGCAAATACAGTAACTCTGGCAGGTTAGAGTTGGAGAAGAAATCCACTGCAGGCTCCACCATATTTGGCTGTGATACAATCCGGAGCCATTTTGTGAAGATTTTGGTTGTCTGAGGTTGTGCTACTTTGGGAATCAAGACAATGTAAGATATGAATGATCATTTTGGTAAAGAATTAGAAATTATGAAAAGAAAGCAGACAGAAATACAAAATAGAAAAAATTCAATAGAAAGTATGGGTAGCAGATTTGACCCATGTGAGGACAGAGTGTCCTAAATTGAAGACAACATGGACATAGAGATCATAAACTCAATGATGAGCTAAAGACGGCAAGGCGACATGCCAAATGGATCCAATAGTTGCCGGCTAACTAAAAAGAAAAAAGTCACTCAGAATTATAGAAATAAACAAAAACTAAGAACACAACTTAGAATATATAAAAAATATATTCACAACTTGACCACAAAGAGTTCCTTTCAAAAGCAAGACTCTTCCCTGGGCACTTTAGATACAGTTTGGAATGTGACATCTAAATAAAATAAAATCACTAGACTTTTCATTTTCTGTCATTATCTACCTGCCAGCTACACCTTAATTTTAAAACAGTGTATTTGAAATATAATTTTCAAATTGGTTTTGCTGTCTTTAATCATGTGATGATTCTTTTGGGTATAATATGAACCTTGGTATGTGCATGGTAGCTATAGGTTGTATTTTATGGTGTTTGGATGATTTTTCTTAATTGAAATAAAACACTAACTTCTAATTGTAAAAAATGTATTCACTAAATTCATAGCAGAAAAAATTTCCAAATCTAGGGAAAGAATTCAATTGTAGGTATAAAAGGCATTCAGAAGTCCAATTAGCCATAATCAGAAAAAAGCCTCCACACAATACATCATAATCAAAATTCCAGAAGTTCAATGAAAAGAGCAAATATTTTAAAAAGCTGTTTGAGAAAAACCAGCAAGTAACCTATAAACACAAGTCTATCAGAATAATAACCAATTTTTCAGCACAAATTTTAGAGGGCAGAAGAGCTTGACATGAAGTTTGTCAAGCCCTAAACAAAAACTATTGTGAACTCAGAGTTCTATATCCTGAAAAATTAGCCTCTAAGATTGATGTACAAGATTTTACATGACAAGAAAAATACTAAAGAAACACATGATCATTAAAGTAGCACATAGGAAATACTTAAAGGAATCCCACATGAAGATGAAGAGGTCACCAGCACCAAAGAGCACAAAGGAAAGTATATTTCTAACTAGGGAAAAAATAAAGGGATCAGCACTGAAAAAGTAATGCAAAAGCAGGGCTCAGTAAATACCCTACAATAATAACTCTCAATGTCAATGGTTTTAACTTCCCATTCAAAAGATGCAGACTGACAGGTTGGCTAATAGAATAAAGTACATGTTGCCCACAGGAGATGTACCTCATCCAAACAGAATGAATTAATAAAGAAAATAGTGTATATATACACAATGAACTAAGGATAAATATGAGTCATCTGTAGGAACATGGATTCACTTTGAGTCTATATTACTAAGTGAAGTAAATCAGATATAGAAAGTTAAATATTGCACACTTTTTAAAAAATGAGACACACAAAACATAAATAATTTAAAGAGCAAAATAAAAGACAGATGATAGGGAATAGGAAGATAGACTTTATGGAGATAGAAAGGGGTTCTGGGGATGAGTGGAAAAAGACGGGGAGGGGAAGAGAAAGTACAAGGAATAAGATGTGGTATGTACATATATCACTATAATATAGTGAGTTAATCAACATTTTACAAACACATAAAAACTTTTTTAAAAATGAATCTGCTAGATGTAGTAATTTTTATGAAATAAAATGTTCACTTTTATCTTATGCAAAAATTTTGCTAAAATTCAGTATTTTGTCCTTTTATTCAAAATGCTCTCATTTATACACTGAAGTATATGTTGAATGTTTTCTATTTGAAAACATTTCTCTGGGAGCTCAGGATAAGCCAATACAATATGGCTCGCCTTCTAAAAAAGGTGAGAAGTCCATGATGTATAGATGGAGAATAGGGTGAAAGAGACATTCTCATTTCTTCAGCCAAGATGGGTTCTCAAAACACTACAGGCTATTGTTGAAATAGAAAGCAAATAATTGTCCTGTGTAGTATTTCAGATTGTTTTATAAATGCCCAAAAAGCCCTTTGGGGGAGCAGTGTTATTACTGATATATATCTTTCCATTGTTAAGGTATTAATTACAAAGAGAGATACATATTTTACACTCTCATCATTTAAAATATTAATATGTTAAATTTTTCTTAAGTTTTAACAGGAGGGCAAAATATTTTAAAAGGTTTAGGGTAGGGTTCACAATAGGCAGCTGAAAAGACAAATTGTTGCTTCAAATGTAAATGAAATAGCTTTTTGTATATTTATCCACATTCAGTTCTGTAAGAATGCCACTTCTGGATATTGCTTATAGTCTTCCAGATTTCTGTTATATCTGATATAATTTATGAAAGCAAAAACAGAATAATATATTCCTGGGTCTTTGAGAGTTAAAAGGGTTTCTAGAAAAGGTTTTACTCTCACAAAACAACATTACTTGTAAATAACTAGCTCTAATGCAAACACGAAGGCATTCCTAAGTGCCAAGAACAAGAAGCTTCTATTCTCATATCCCTAAGATTGTTTGTATTTCTATATCCTCTACTCACTCACCTGATAGACTGTGTAAGTTGAAGACACCCGCAAAAGTATCCCGCTACAAGCACACAGTCAGGGGTACTCTTCAAGTGTGCTGAAAAAAAAAATGGCTACCAAGGTACCTGGTCTGGGTAAGATTGTCCTACACCTTCAAGCAGTATGACCAAGGACCAGTGAGAGAACAAAGGCATGGAATATGCCTACAAGATAAGAAGAGCATCACATAAGCTTTGAAAACTGCATTCATTGTTGCTACAACTCACAAAAATGGGCCAGGACCTGTGTGGTAACCTAAACAGAGTAATATCATATTAATACTGAAAAATAAACAATGTAATTGTCAAACAATCAGGACATAGTAAGAAATTATTTACTTATAATAAGAATTCAGAAAAACACAACTAGAATGAGAAAAGGAAATCAACTGATGCTAATACCACATTGAATCAAATGTTGAATATCTGTCAAAAATTTTAAAGAAAGCATCATAAAACATTTCAAATGAATACAAATTTTTTAAAATAAAGAAAACCACAACCTCTCAGTAAAGCAATAAAGACATAAAATAACCAAAGAGAATTTATAGAGCTAAAAACTATAGAAACAAAGACAGAAAACTTGCTGGATGGGTTGAAA